TATCCACTACTTTACAGTTCGAAGTACTATTACGCACGTAGCGTTCCGTTCCCACGTCAATCGTTTTCTTCGCTTTCTTGCGGAAAGCAGACCGTACTACTCATCTCAACACAGCCGGCGAATAAATGTTCGTTGGTTGTCCTGCCTCTCCGTGACGCCTTCTTGGCTATGTCAACATACACACAAAGAAAGAAATGAATGAAACAGAAATTTTATAAATTGCTAAAGTTTCGCCCGTCAGCCACTTCCGATAGAGAGGCATGTGGCTCAACGCTTCTTCGCGAAAGTATCAACAGCTGTAAACTACTGCCATAATGATTCTGAAAAGAAGTTGGATGCTACTGATTTTCTATGAATCAGTGGTATCAATGCAACTGTGCATTGATTTCACACCTCGTCGCTCGTGGACGTCGTGTGAACTGGAACTGACGCAGAATGTGGCCAGATGCCAGTGCGCTCTTTCGTGCAAGATTTTGTCCGAATAAATAATTGAAAGACGGCGTTTTAGTAACTTCGCAAAATACATAAACCCCACAAATGTACCTCTCGTTTGCAGCATCGGATTTTTTGTCTTGGTGTTTTAGTGTCAAAGTATAAATATTTAGGAATGCCTCACTCGGGCATGAATATAACGTCCCGTGAGTCGCGTTCTACGAAGGGTGTTTTAATCACCAGGATAATAAAAATGAGAGAAACAGAAATTTACAAATTAGAAAACATCCCCTTTTATTTTATTCTTTTATATTGAAGTATGGTTTCTTTCCTCTTCACATAAACGCCTGATTCGACGTCAAAATTAGCAAACTTTAATAACCTCCTCTGTGCCTTTTAAATGTTTTGTTCTATCACGTCTGGGTCATTCCATGCCAAAGGAGTCGCGGCAATTCTTTCATGTCTGGGATATGTATGAAACAATTCATTTAGATAAAAAATCCTCGGGAATCGAAGAAAAAAATTGTTGTGAAAAAAGTACATGTCATTTTTACGGATATTATACTCAAAATTTCTGGAGTTTGCATAAAACCTATGTATTAAGAAAAACATTGCAAACAAACAGTTGCGTACCACACAGATTTAGCTGCACGCCTAATTACTTAATAACATGCCCTATTTTACACGAAAATGAAAGCATTGAAAGACGCCATTCTGCGTCCAAATAGGAGCTCCAAAAAGAAGAGACGTTATGAGATTTTCATATTTTTTGGGTCAACTTGGATTGGGGTGTTAGTTACAATAATTTTCCCGTGTTCTCTTAAAACTACTAATTTATTTTTTTTATTAAATTTTCAAAGCTTGGTTTTGTTACGTTTTAGTTAAATGACAAAATCTCCAGCTCATATCCAGAAAAGACGTTATTAAGAGCATGAAAAAGCACTCTGGGCAGCGGTGCCCGGAACTTTAGAATTAACCATAAGTTATATCCTCATGATGAAAAACAGCGCGAAACACATGAACGATGAGGAGAAAAATATATACAGGACAAGGCGCTGTCCTGTATGTATTTCTCTCCGCAACGCCTTCTCATGTATGTATTCTTCTCCTGTGTCCTTGTGTTTCGCGCTGTTTCTCATCATAAACGTTTACCCACTAGCCCAATAGTCGATTCTTGTAAGTTAAGTCCACCTCAACTGTAAGGCATATCAACAAATTAAAAAAGTTTTTTTTTTTCTTTTTTTTTCTTTTTTTTTTTTTTTTTTTTTGCTGAGAAATTAGTTTTGAAATATAAGCCTCTCCAACCACGCCTCAGGCGCCCGACTCGTAGGCGATGCTCGCCGGCGTTCGCCAGCGAAGCGCCAACGGTGTGAGGCGCCGCCGCGAGGTCTTGAACGCTCTCCTGAAAACACGTTTTATTCAGAGGAAGTGTACTTTATCCTGACTTCCATGCATCCGTATCCTCTTTACGTTACGTAATAATACTGGCGTCTTAATTTTACCCAACTTCTGCCCAGTTACTGCCCACGAACGCAGGCCTATCTACTTCCCGAGTTTGGGAATGCCTAGTTGCGCGTCGGCCCTGTGTGTCGTATGTCCAGATGTAAAAACAATTCAAAGTAGATAACTCTTCACCGATCTGAAATGATAACGGTGGTGTCGCTTCTTTATTGAACTTAAAATATTTTGATAGATAGTTAGTGCTATTAAAAGCAGTGTAATGATAGAAAACGCATTTTACTCTTTGCTGCGGTCGTCTCACACCCTTGAGGTCCTTATATGAGCAGCATATTAGATTCCGAAATATACTTGAGGCCAGCAGAACATGTCTCAAATTTTGAACTTACTGGTATTTTTAGGGGAACTGTGTTTGATAAAAGGTGGGAGTTACAAGGGTGCTGTCTTCGCTACCTGTGTCCGGCTCGGCGGACATTAGATGAGGTAATAACCGTCATGGTAAGTCGGTTTATTAAAGAAATTGTTGATTAAATTTTTAATTAATGTTTTATGGCTCATGTTGCAAGTGCAGTATTGACGCCATCTACTATCGGAGGCTTCACCAATTAACATAATTTGGAAAAGATCGTAGTTCCTTAGATATTGAGCGATCAGTTTTCGCATATTTGTTCCCGATTTCAATATTGCTCGCAAAAAAGATTGCCAAAACCCCTGCCTACAATGGCATTTATAAGAGTGACGTAATCGTTTCCCTCACGTCGTCACTATCTCGGCAGCGCGTCCTTGGTGATGCGCCAACGAACTACAATACATCTTAGTTCTAGAAAATTACATTTAGGTTCAATTCGGATACGTCGTCCTTGTTATCATTTTGCATCGGTGAAGAGATATCCGCTCTGAATTGTTTTTATATCTGAACATACGAGAGACCAGGTCTACGCGCAGTATGCATCCCCAAACTCGGGGAGCAGTCGATACAGGCCTGTGTTCGTCGGCAGTCACCTGGTCAGAAGTAGGCTAAAATTAAGACGCCAGGATCATTACTTAACGCAAATAGGGCACGGATACATAAAACTGAAAGTCAAGATAAAGTTCATTTCAACTGAACAAACCTGCTTTCAGTACAGCGTTGAAGACCTTGCGCCAGAGTCTCGCACCGTTGACGGTTCGCTGGCAACGCCGGCAAGCGTCGCCTACGAGGTGGGCGCCTGGAGACATGGTCGGAGAGGCTTATCTTTAAGCCTAACCTAACCTAACCTAACCTAACAATAAGTACTTTTCTAATTTTCTCATATGGTGAACAGATGAGCTCCATGAATGGAAGTTTTGGCTATTTCGAAAGTTTTGGGCTCCGGAATAGTTTCTGGCTCTTAATATGGCATATCCTAGATAAACATGTGATTTTTTCTTTTGATTATTGAGCAGCAAAACGAGGCTTTGAACATTTAATACAACCAATTCAATTATTAGTTTTAAGAGAACAATAAAGGGTATTATAGCCAACATGCAAACTCGTGTTGACTAAAAACAAATTGATAAAATCTACTTTTTTTATCTCCTATTGGGACCCCAAATGGTGTTTTTTAATGTTTGTATTTATTTGTAAATAGGCGCCCACATAAACTATCAAGCGAATAGGCGCCCACATCAACTTTGTGGTACGTAACCGTTTCCTTTTTCCAATTGTTTGTCTTAGCTTTATAGGTTTTATGCAACCCCAAGGAAATGGAGAGCCAATATCAGCAAAAAATCAAATTCATTTTAATAGCAAAAAAAAAAAAAAAGTGCGTGGCCTTCAGAGGCTTCTTGGTCCAAATTATCTTTCTTCCTTCCTATCCCAGACATAAAAGAATGGTCGCGTCTCCTTTGGCTTGGAACGACCCGTGTGTCAGTCATTAACCCCTTGCAGTCAGTGTTTTTGTACTACGCTCTAAAACCGCGGTCACGTACTCCACATATGTCACACAAACAACAGTCTGCGGGCATTGTCTAGGGCGTGCTTGTTCTTTTTGTGACTGTCACATTGGTCATACAAAAATTGTCTGCAGAAATGTTCGAAGCGCACAAATGTAAATACGCTTGGGTCCTGTCTCTTGTATGATGTATACGAGCAATGTTACAATGTACTACGCTGAACTCGCAACAACATTCGTGAGTAGTTCCTTGGTTCGTTCAAGCAGTGACACCTTTGAGACATAAGACGTCTTCGACCATGGTCTCATATGTCTCAATCGCCAGATGGTCTCAGTGGCGAAACGCGGCGGGGGGGAACCTTTATTTTGGCTGGATCTGCTCGCCCATTGTACAATGAATAGCTATAACAATTCTCATTGATTGAAGCGATATAAACGAGCATCCAAAGGTTGGTGTTCCGGGAGCACTGAGATGCACTATATACTCGGGCACCTCGGAAAGTAAGCCGGTAAGAGTGCCACGAAGGAAAGAGGCTGGATCAGCTCAGCTTCCTTGGAATGGTTTATTACAGTCAACGACTCGACCAAGTGGTAATTTCTAAAAAAAAATAGTGAAAGAGAGCGAGAGAAAAGAGGGCAAAAGCTGAGATTTTGCGAAAAAGTTAACAATGTCACCCTGCAACCATTGTTCTGACATAGAAATTCTCGTTTACACAATTTGAAGATCCTCACTGCCTACTGTTGGGTGATATGCACTCGACATGCCGATAATTTGTCTTCCCTGGGTTAGTTTCGACAATTAGAAAGGGTGTTTCTCTCTACTAGTTAATGACAGAAACGTATGGTGTGACTTCACATGTTCACTTTTCTTGCTTCATGATTTGTTCTTCGATATTCTCATCGACTAAACGCGCAATCACATTGGCATTGGAACGATAATGAGATAATCAAAATTCGCCGTGCGCTACGCGTCTGAAGATGCCAATCACTATACAAAATCATTCAGTCTCAGTGAAAAACAAAAGACCTCAAATCCTTACCTTTTTTTTTAAGCTGTTTACAGTTACACCTTGATTTCGAGCGCCTCCTCTCTTGGTTAGGCTAATCTTTAAAAAAAATACTGACTCGTATTTTGAGCGCGCCACGGTGCCTCTGAGGGTGTAGGTGTAAAAAAGAACAAAGAACAAGAGACAGTATTTAGGCGGGGCAGTTGGTGTCAGACACGACGTACTTCTCAGATCCACAGAGGACAGCGTACACGAAGTCGCAAACCAGGTTGTTCTTCCCCAAATGGTCGTCCTTCTTGGCGACGCTGCAGGCGCGGTCTGCGAAATGAACACAGAGCTAAGGGTTGCAAGAAGCCAAAGTATGCAGCCGAGCTGGTTAGAGATCATAATAATCTCTAAACCCTGAGAAACGGAGAAATAAAATCAACGGACGAGACGACACAAAAGCATAAGGGTTGCGCTTGATGTCTACAAAAAGACTTTCGATTTAAACTTTATCGCCGTACAAATAAAGTAACAAAGCAACGGAAGGAGCAAACAGTTGGACGTTTTACAATTACTTTCGCCTCGTTGCATTAGTTTTATCGAACAGAAAGAAGCGTTCACGCAGGTCGACATCAGCGGCGGACAACGGAGAAGAAAAAACGACCGCACTTTTTGCTTGACCGTACTGAACGTATAGAAGTTATGCGCCTGTCGCTCGTTTATAATCGCTGTGTTTGCTTAGGCGTGTTCCTTAAGAAATAAACCTGTTTCAAATATGCTTTATCTTGAACGATTAGAATCTACCAACGCTGCGCACTCTAAAATCTCTGGAGCGTTTACTTTTCCGTCAAGCAGTTGGGAGAGCCAATGGCCGCTATCTACGGAAGGAATTTGGCGAAGGATGAGGGTACAAAAGCTCTTCGCGCACTTCGGTAGCTCCCCGTTTCTATGCGTCGCGCCTTTTCCGCTGGGTAGTGTCGCCTCATCTGGAATACTTATCGTAGGCAATACTCACTGCTGACGTACGGGTGCCTCATCACCCAGCAGGACGAACAGTCGACGTACATGATGGGAAACTCCTCAGTTTTGCTGGGGTCTGCGTGAAACGAAAATTCGTCAACGGGTCTCATTACTTTAGTTCTCGAAAGCGTACAGCTAAGCGTATTGTGCTTGGCCAGGCACCGCGCCAGAGAAACTCCTAACAAGGCAAAACTATGAGTCCAATCTGGGCCTAATAAGGCTTCGCTCTGAGGCGTTAGTTAGTGGCAATGCATTTCTCTTTGGCTTTTCGATGACACACGGTGCCCGAAGCGCGTCTCCGACTGGTGTGTTTAGCGTCCCACACATCAAACGTGGTCCCGAAGTGGCAACAAATGACGTCACGGAAGCCGGAGTGTCACCCTATCGGATGTCGCGATCCTGGCGGTTAATCGTAGAAATGCTGGCAAAAAGTACGAGCGAACGGTAGTGTCGCTGTCGTTGCGGCGTCCCAACTTCTGGACGCCGAAGGCTTCCGTGGACTGTCACATCGGAGACCGACCTGCAGCGGATCGGGCGTCTGCCACATCCAGCACCACTTCTGTGACACCGCCAGGATCGCGGTCGGCGACAGAGTGACACTTCTAAGTCATAATTAAGCGGAAATCAAGAAAACACGTGTTTTTGTTGTTTTTTACGCGATAAACACAGCAGTCGGAGACTCATTCTAGGCACCATGCTACGACAGTGATCACTGGCTCGCCACATAATTGCCAAAGTGCCAGAGATGAGCCAAAGATGCCTCGTATTGACGAAAAGGCAAACAGCGCACAATAAACGGGTACTAAAGGAAGTGCAAACAGGACAAGCGCTGACTCTCAACTGAAATTTAATCACATGAAAACAAAACAAAGAAAACAGCAACTCCGCCCATGTCACATGGTACATTCACCACGTGTCCAAAAAAAAACATCTCTACTCAAGCCCAGTGACGTTTGGCTTACGCAGTTCGCGCCTGCTTATATAAGCAGGCGCGAAATGCGTAAGCCAAACATATTCTTTGTTTCGTTTTCATGTGATTAAATTTCAGTTGAGAGTCAGCGCTTTTCCTGTTTGCACTTCCTTTTGTCCCCGTTTATTGTGCACTGTTTGCCTTTTCGTCAGTATGAACCAACTAACCCACTTCGCCACCCTTATGCCACGTATCAACCGAACGACCAGAAGTTAAACGCAGCTCGGACATTTTATCGGGAGCTGGGGTCCAAACAAACCAGCTGACAACCAAACAAGGAGGCAGTGAAGCCGAATTCTGGCACTAAATTCTTTCACAATTTAGGGCAGAAATGCCCAAGCTCTAGGCAAATAATATCAGGTTTGGTTATACCTTCCTTGGCTTTTCGATGCTTTAAGGGCCCTAAAATGCCAGACAAAAATGAAAGACGTTACAACACCCTGTAACGCGGAATTGGACCGTAGCTCGAAGGAGGGAAGGGTACTGAGGGGAGGGTATACCCCTCCTCCCTTCTCCTCCCCTCCTCCCCGGATGGATGGATGGATGTTACTGGCTATACCCTTTGTATCGGGTAGTAGCTTGCGCCACCTAGCCTAAGTCTAAGAAAGACAAACATTTGATTTGATTTCTCGCGCCCTTCTAAGCCAATTTTCTACCCCCTAACTATCACCAGGTAGTGGATATCACCAGGATGACCTTCGGGGGATCGCGCAAAAAAAAACTAAAAACATCACCCCCCGCCTCTTCCCCCTCCTCCTCCCCGCGCGGTGGATTATGGGACGTTTCCCATAATGCACCGCGCGGTTTCGCCGTCGGCGACGGCGACGCCGCTCAAGCCGGAAACGGGCGCCTAAGAGGGCGCTCTAAAACAAACAAAGTCTCAAAGAACTGTACTGCTTGAGTTCCTTTCTTCCTGTTATTCTTCAGCAGGCAGAGGGGAATCGGGATCATTTCGCCAAAGTTCGCATTCTTTCTTTCTACCTCACCTGTCTGCTACTTCTAACAACACTCCAATCCCCCCCCCCCCTCCAATTTCTCTCTCTCTCTCTCTCTCTGCTTCTTTCTTTCCGAACGGGAGTAGCAAATATTTCGTCGATATTTCGGCGAGCCAGGGGATCTTACGCAACAAATATAAGTTACAGTTACTTTGTATTATATATTGTGTCCTTAGAAAAGTTGCACCTATGACGATCCTGGGATACCTAACATGCCGATGTTCAATTCAATTTGATTGACTTTATATTCATTGACACAGCAGACATGAAAAGAAAATCTAAATGGCGCAGCTTGAGAAGTGCCTGCCCCCATAAAAATAGGACAGTTTCGTCATCACCTAAATCTATTATAGCAAAAGAAAATCAGAGAGTGAGAGAATGCGACGCAATTGAAGTTAACGAAAAAACAGTTCACAACATCTGCAAAGTTCAAAACGTCCATAATAAAAGTTCACAGCATCCGCTGGTTCTTTTCAAATGTTTTGTCTAAGATGTCTCATTTTCTTGGTAAAACATTTGTTTTGTTTTATTAAAATGGACACTATCTTTCGAGGATGCAATATGTACCTTGCACAGGCGTCATTGTGAACACGTTTCGATGTGTGTATCCTTCTGACGCCTTAATATGTAGCCTCGTGTCGCTGCAAGAAGAAAGCACAGAAATGAATTACGAAGGTGGTCCCAGACGCTGAAGGCTACGCCGAGTATACGTACATATGATTAAACGAATAGCTAGGTACCGAATATACCAATACTCCTCACTCGCTGAAATAGTAAAGTTCACTACTGTTTACTCAGTATCTAAAAAAACACATTACATTTCTCGATTATTTTATAATTAGGGTAACTGGTAGGGAGTCACAAAGCCGTTACTTCGTGACCGCAAACCAACGAGAAACAAGTAAAGCAATACATATAAGTCTGGTTAAGGATACGCATATTTTGAATTCCGTAGGCTGTCGATGAATGACTAATACTCAAAAAGATAGCACGGTTTTCTTTTTTCGGTGTCTGTGTCAATTCAAAGCACGAATGCTTCCATGCAAATAACCGACACTCTCTGCATCTCCACTACCGGAAGTATCTGCAGCATAGTTTTCCTATGTCCACACTTCCAAGATAGAGAAGCTCCAACCAAAGAACGATGTGAATCTTTATGTAAACAACAAAACAAGGAAGTTTGAATAATTTTTGAGGTGCCGTTAGAATACTAAATTTCAGTAGCTGTACGTTGGTATCAATTCAAAAGTTATCACGGTCTAAGGGGGGAAAAAGGGTACGTGAGTTCACTTTCCTGCAGAACACAAGACAACGAATCACAGCAAACAATATCAGGATCTTAGCAAAGGACGAAGATCAAAATACGACAGGAACAAAACAAAATTGCTTGTGTGCAAAGAAAATTAAGCGCGATGCTGTACTGGCTCATTTTTCGTGTACACATTGCTTTTGTTATATCTTATTGTATTTTGAGCTCGTCATTCACTGGGATTCTGGTGTTGCTCTACATAATTGTCTGTCTCTACGCCTTGCGAAAAAGTGTAGAAATGTAATAAAGTTTAGTAAAAAAATATATTTTTAAAAAGCTGGAGAGGTTTTTACATTTCAGCGTTGGGGGAGTGTCGAACCCTGATGGTCGTGGTGTAGTTCTCGTAAGGCCCGACTTGGTGACCGCGCACGCACTTGGCGGTGCCTCCGAAGAAAGAGTCGTGCTCGTGGGTCCGGTAGGTCAGGTACCAGGTGCCCTTTAGGGGATAGCACTGCAAATGGTACGTCGAGCGAGTGTTGTATTTCAGAAATACCCTTTCAAGCGATAACGTTGGTGAGTTCGATGTCGACATTCATAGTCGCTGACAGTAGAAACGCAAGCCTTTTCACATTACGTTCGTGCTTCGTAGCTTCGTGATTTGTTCTATGGCGTTTATACATACTCTAATTAAAGCCACAATTTCATTGGCTTCGGAGAGACGGTCGAGGGGTTGCCACGCTCTGCGTTAATTAATGTCGGTGACCCTAACGTTTAATCGTGCATGTGCTCTTATACACCAACTCAGTTCTCTGACGTCACACATCTGCGGTGGCGCTGCTGTCGGCACTGCGCATGCGCAAAAGCTTAGCCTCGGGCGAATCTGGTTATTGCACATGTGCGGTGTGGACAAAGGCGGATTTGTTTGGAAACAATGTGTTGGTGTGTACACTGTAAGAAACGGCCTCGTAGAACACAAAACGAGGAATCGCACTGAACAATAAAAAAATCCCCAGCGAAGATTATAAAATGAATAAATTTGAAGAATGCCACATGCGCAGAAACAGTGAGAAAGTGAAGCGTCGTGCTCAGTTTTGCTAAATTTGTTTTGTAAGTGGCGCAACAGTTTCATGGACAAATCGATTTAAATGCAAGACCCTCGGATCCACCCCATTCGGGAAGTCCACTATGTTTGGTGTGTCGGTGACGTCACCCACCCAACGCTTGGTGTTCTTTTGTACGCACTCGCGAACTTGGCTTTCCCGATGTCACGCGTTTCAGCTTCCTCGTTTCCCTGCCGCGTTTTGAGCATGGCGTCGACGGCATCGCTCACTTCGTCGGAGTCTTCTACACTGATCGCAGGAGCGATGTGAGTCATTGTTATCAAGAGATGTTGGAAGCTAGTCATTTTTTACTTCGGGTCAGCGACGACGACGAGATCCTCACGGACGACTTCGCCGCCGTCCGCGACGATTCGGCACGTGCACGCCGGGTGAAAGGTCAAAGGGCAAGAGCCGAGTACGAGAGCGAGTGGCAGCGTTGGAGTAGGCGAGGCGAGCTTGGGCGAGCATGGGTATCCCTAGAATGAAAGAGCGCTTGAACTACACCTCATGATCACGTGGTTTATGGGCACCATGGTGTGATTAACATGGGCATGCAGTGTTACCTGGTTGCCAGATGAAAATGATCGACATTCGTGAATTGATTATTGTAATTACTATAGACGCTTTGCAGCAGGTATGCATGAGCGCCGCCATGACCGACCTTCAGTTTTTGTTTCATTTTATTGTGTTTGCTTCACTTCACCATTACCATAGCAGTCAAGGTTATTGCCGTCTTAGATTCTATTGTGCTTTCACTGAAGCTTGTTTCGCACCCATACAGGCGTGTATTGCAGCAAAACAAGCTTCAGTGAAATCGTCCCCAGTCGTTCTTAGCTCCGTCAATTAAATATGCCGTGCCGCTTGTCTGGCTTCAGCATTGCTGCTTCAGAGCAAACTACAAAATCTGGAATCCTCACTTTTGAACGAAAATGAACTGGCACTTGCTGTTTTGTGGGCCATAGAAACTACAAGAAAGATTTGCGATTACTTGCGTCCAAGTAGCAATTTCTTTGAGTAGCCACCTAAAGCACAATAAGCCGGATAAATTAAAACATCATGCGCGTGATATAATATGCCTCTTGCGACAAAACTGGACCCACGTCGACAAATGTGTTGTCCACGTGAGGACAACACATTGTATTGTCACGCGTGGACAACAAATGTACTGACCACTCGTGGACAACACGTTTGTAGACGTGTGCCCACTTTTGTCGTAAGAGGCATATTATGTCACGCGCATGTAATTTTTAATTTATCCGGCTTAGTGTGCTGTAAGTGGCTACTCAAAAAAATTGCTGCTTGGACGCAACTAATCGCAAATATTTCTGGCAGTTTCCACGGCCAGCAGGTGCCAGTTTGTTCTTCCTCAAAGGTGAGAATTCCAGTTTCAATCAGGAATGCTTAAGCCAGACGACCGGTACAGCATTTTTAATTGACGGAGCTCAGGGCGACTAGGGTCTCCTGCATTGAAGCTTACTTTTCGGTAACACACGCGGGTGACGTTGAAGTGAGCCCAGTTACGTGGCAAGGGGATATCTATGCCCCGCACATGTAATTTTGAATTTTTCCCAACTTTTGTACTTTACGTGGTTACTCAAAGTAATTGTTACTTGGAAGCAACTAATTGCAAATCTCTCTTCCAGTTTCTACGGCCTACAAGCAAGCAAGCACCAGTTCGTTTTTCCTCAAAGGTGAGCATTCCAGATACTCTAGTTTGGTGCGAAGCAGGAATAGTGAAGCCAGACGAGCGGATAGGTATATTTAATTGACCGAGCTCAGAATGACCTGTGGCACTGGCATTGAAGCTTATTTTTCCGCAATAATCGCGGACATAATTATGAATCCATCCGGCTTAGTGAGGAATTGCTACTTGTCGCGAACTAATCACTAATATTTATTTTGCAGTTTCTATATGGCCGCAGCTAGCAGGGGCTGATTCATCAAAAAGGTGAGGATTTCACATTCTGTTTTCAAGCATCAAGTTTTTTAATGAGGGTTCTAAACAATTAACTTTCTTTTGTAGTAAATGCTGAATTCTCCAGTTCAGGAACATGATAAATATATTTAGTATGGATAAGCCCAGTGTTTTGCTTCTTTATTCATAATTTGACAACAGAAATTTTTTTTTCATCACTCACAAATACACACACGGCGGCTTTGCGTTGCAAAGAAATGTCGTGCTGAATGTGATATTCCAACTCGTATATAGTTTTTTTGGTAGCCGATATAATATATTGGATTACAATATCCATGATACGCTAAATACACTGGAATCGTAAACTCATATTGGACACATGGGGATCCAATAAGGGTTTATACGGTATGGGATTCCAATGTTTTTAGCGTATTATGGATATCGGAACCCCTTATTGTAATGCAATAAATGTAATGAATATTGGAATCCGATTACAAACACTTGTAATACGATACGATAAATTTACTGTTTTTCAATACACTGTGCATATCGTATCGTAATAAAATAAAATATATTGTTTACCAATATCCATAATACGCTGTTCATATTGAGGTTTTCCAATAGGGTACTCATTCGCGCAAGACTGTCGACCCAACGCGTAGGTTGTCTGCTGGTACCCATTTTGGTGCACCAAACATCAAACACAATATTTTTCTGATGAGCGACGAGGAGCAGCTCCAAAGACCGCATGCGAGCGACTGCTGGGCGACGAGCAAAGTTGTCTATGAATATACTACGACCGAGCAGTGCGACGAACAATACGCCCAGCAACTGCCCAGCCCGTCGCAGATCGCCAAGTTTTAGAGCGCAGCTCTTAGGGGCCCGTTCCCGGCTTGAGCGGCGTCGGCGTCGGCGTCGCCGTCGGCGTAACCAAGGTCACCCCAAGGTCACGCGACCCCCAAGGTCATCCCAAGGTCACCCCAAGGTCACGTAACCCCCAGAGGTCACGTGACCCCTCCCCCAGGGTCACGTGACCCCCTCCCCCTCGAGGTCACGTGACCACCCCCCAGGGCCACGTGACCTCCCCGATGACGTCATCGTCACTAATGACGTCACCGGCATCCGCATCGTCATCGTCATCTACACTGATGACGTCATCAGTGACGTCACTGATGACCTCGCCGGCATCCGCATCGTCATCATCACTGATGACGTCATCAGTTACGTCACTGATGACGTCACCGGCATCCGCATCGTCATCGTCATCATCACGGATTACGTCATCAGTGTCCGCATCGTCATCGTCACTGATGACGTCATCAGTGACGTCACTGATGACCTCACCGGCATCCGCATCGTCATCGTCATCATCAATGATGACGTCATCAGTGACGTCACTGATGACGTCACCGGCATCCGCATCGTCATCGTCATCATCACTGATGACGTCATCAATGACGTCACTGATGACCTCACCGGCATCCGCATCGTCATCGTCATCATCACTGATGACGTCATTAGTGACGTCACTGATGACGTCACCGGCATCCGCATCATCATCATCACGGATGATGTCATCAGTAACTTCACTGATGACATCACCGGCATCGTCACGAGACCCCCAAGGTCACGTGACCCCCAAGGTCACGTGACCCCCCCCCCTCCAGGTCACTTCACCCCCCAGTACCCTTCCCTCCTCCTCAAGAGCTGCGCTCTAATTCGGTGTTACAGGGAGTTGTAAACGGCTTTCACTTTTTTTTTCGCTGGCCAAATCGCCTACGTGATCAAAGTGCTCAAATGCAGCGAGAAACAAGACCGTGACGACTACATGCCACGATGGATAAGGCTGCGAATGCCTTGCTGTGTCAACTCGATATTTGCAGAAGTTGCACTGGAATTCAACTACTTTTATTTCCGGCAAAAACGTAGGAAATGTGATGAACCTACATGGGCTCTGAAGTCTAGATCATGTTGTTGTGTCGTCAACCCATTCGCAGTCCGATCCCATAGTATGTGACACCGCGGCAGTGGCTGGCGAAGCGCAGTATGCAGTGCTATACGTAGTGCAGCAGCAAGAAAGTTAAAGCGGACAATGGCGGGGTCCAATTATTGCCAAGACGGCGGCGCCCATGCGAAGTCCCCTGAAAGCTTCTATAGGGATACAAATGTGAGCAATAAACGTCGGCAGCTAAGCGATGTAACACTCGCTTGTCATTGTAACTACCAACTGTACGCGTAATTCAACAGAAGCCAAGTGCTACTGTGCGAATAAGAATTAAGTGTAACTATATGCTCACTAACGGGGTTAGAACGGCAGGGAGGTACTTCAGTTGCCGCGCCTCGGGCACTGGCTTTTTACCCTCGATAACACTTCGGTGTCTCGTGAACCTGCCGCGGGCACGCGTAACCAAATTACGACAGAAGACAATAAGCGGGAGCTGGAAGCCGGCATTCGAAAGTTACGCCCTCCGGCTCTCATATTCAGCGAGCCTTTAGCTGGAAAAGCATTGCTTACAATATCGGGGCACCTGCATCGTAAATAAAATGCAACTTTTTCCTTGCGAACAAACTTTTAATTAATGTGAGGCTCTATTTCCATCTTGTAATACAAACCTAACAACAAAATTTAGCTTCAAACGTAAAAAAAAAAAAAATTTTGAAACCTATTTTTATGAGATGAGGAAATAAAGTTTAGACGTTAACCTTACGAACAAATCGCGCCAACCATGTAAACTGTGCAACCGCGTCGTTTAAAAAATTACAATCATTTCACCACGCGGGTTAACAGAACAGTCGCTACATCACCTGTTCGTAATCTTGGAATTGTCCCAACTCTGGCCTTCTTTCCACGAACTGCGAATGCGCAACCGCGCTGAAGACAACCAGCAAGAACGCCAATCTGGAGAACATGGTCGCTGGTGGGTGCTCTTTCTCCGCCGGCAGGTCTGATCTACACTGCGGCGCCCTTCCTTTTAGCGTGGGAAATCCGACCACAAGGATTAAGCGAAAAACTGGTTTGACGAAAGCCATCGCCCTCAGGTCCATGCTTCTCCCGCCTCCATTACTTAAATACATTATCCTTAAGAAGAAAAAAAGGCGCACGCGAGCAGGGCGCGACACGGTCGACCTCAATTGATCGACGATTTCTCGCGCGACTTGACATTTTGTAAGTGGCTGTGACAATGCCTGATCATGGTTCTTTGCTTTCCAAACTCCTGTGTACTGCTGCTACTCATTTACCGGCCTCCCCGATGACAACTCTTTCCTCTCTCACCTTTCTTCCACATACTCCATCCGATTCTCCTTTCCGAATCAAGGTGACCTATAGTCTGTTGCAACGTAAAACACGCATGCAGGACAAACCTTACTGTAATAAAAAGGTTCGAAACACGCGAAAGAAGCATGTTAAGAAAACCCAAAGACCAAAACTAAAAAATCGGCAACTTTTTTGTTGATCTTATTGTTATTTATTTCACAATACTGCCAGCCCTGTCAAAAGCCAGAGCAGGGGCGGATAATACAAAACAAGGAGGTTACACTGCATTCTGTACACCGCACACGTACACAAACAAAAACAAGCCGGTGTTACAAATTCGCTCACAGAGGCGTGCCAAAAACACATGCGTATATATATATATATATACATATATATATATATAAATATATATATATATATATATATATATATATATTATATATATATATATATATATATTTTTTTTTTATTCAAACAACACACGTAGAGCCTTTTCGAAATAAGAAATCGACTCGAGAGCAACAGCAGCACCTGGAAGTTTACTCCGAAAATCTATAGCCTGCACAAAAAAAAAAATGATTGTTGAAATATATTTATACGGGCGTGAATGGGTTCGAGCACTTTCGGGTGATGTAAGCGCTCTGAACGGTGGCTTTTGGTTGTTACATATTTAGAGCTGTCGATTTTTAAAAGATGATTATAAATCTGAAAAAAAAAATAATTTCAAGCGTTGGCATATTCTCCTTTTTTCCAGGGCTGCATGTCTGCCTGCTTTTTTAGCTCCGTCACAGACGTCGTAGTTCTAAAATCAGAGAATATTGTACGCACCGCAAGTGACTGAATCTTTTCAAGCTCATTAGAAAGCGTGGCCTGCCAGGGATCCCATGCCTCGGAAGCATACTCCAGTGTTGATCTTCCAAGAGCTTTGTAGGCAACAAGCTTAACCGAGGGAGGTGTCCTATACAACTTCCTTCGTAAATACCGCAGTTTTTAGTTGCCTTTTTTTTACATAATTCACATGTTTGTTTCATTTCAGATTGCTAGTGATAACCACTCCCAAGTATTTGTAGCTGTCAACTTTAGTAAGCTTGACAGAGTCAAGCTCGTAGTCAAAGTAAAATATATTTTTCTTATTCGTCAAGTGCATGTATTCCGTTTTCAGTGTGTTTACTATCATATTCTTTTCACTACACCATGACGAGATGCGATATAAAATATTTACTTTTTGATCGTTAACTGACGAAATGGGAGCATATATAACACAATCATCGGCAAACATTCTTACTTTCACGCGTTACTGCGGATAGAAAACAAACTGTTAACATGTATTAAGAAAATCAAGGGACCCAACACCTCCGGAACCCCTGAGTACACTTTCAACAATTCCGAAAAGGTACCGTTTCCATCGACGAACTGCCGGCGATTTCTGAAATATGCGCAAATCCATCTGATGATCAATCAAGGAGAACCGTAGTATATTAAAACATTAATTAGTTTAAAATGTGGTACTCGATCGAACGCTTTAGACAGATCCGTAAAAATGGCATCCACTTGCAGGCGATTATTAACATAACCAGAAATCTCATGATAGCATTCAAGTAGTTGGGTTGTTGTTAAATACCCTTTCCAAAAAAAATGCTGATTGGAACTTAGAGTGCCTTTGTCCTCTTTAAAAGAAACTAGGTGCTTATTCACAATGTGCTCTAGTAGCTTACATGACGTACAGGTCAAAGAAATAGGGCGATAATTATCAACTGAATCACCCTTCTCACTCTTTTTCACGGGCACAACTCTTGCTAATAACCAATCGTCCGGTAAAACAGAGTCTCGGAGTGAAATGAAGAATATAATTGTTAAGTATCTCGCAACCCATTCAGCGTATCTTTTTAGAAATTCATTTGGTACAGTATCTGGTCCTGGCGATTTCCTTAAATGATAACAATAAGAATACGATACCTTGTTCTGATACAAAACTACTTACGTTAGAGCCTTCATCGTTGGGAATACTGCTGAATTCAGTTGAATCTATTGTAAACACAGACTGCAAATAGTGATTCAATTCAAACGACATTATGGCCCTGTCGTGCACAACGTTGTTATTAATGCGTAACTGACTTATCTTTGTCCGTGACGGAGTGAGATAACGCCAAAACTTTTCAGGGGAGGATGAAATGAATTTTCGCAATGACTGTAAAATAGGCTTCCTTGGCTAGCTTTATCAATGTATTTAACTTGGCACTCTGCTCACAGATAGCAGGAGAATGACGCTTTCGAAGCATCTTTACGTTTTGCCTGCAAAATATCTCTTGTAATCCATGGATTGTGGCGTTTTGTCGTTTTAGTTTTCTCGGTATAAAGTTTAGGATGCAGTGCTCAGTAATACTTTCAAAATTCAACCACATTTCATTTACACCACTGTGATCTTCAAACCGGTCTAGATGCTCTTCCAGATAATCAATAATAGACTCGTCACTAGCCCTTTCGTGGTCATAATACTGCTTTACCTGAGCTGAATCTTTTTGGCAAACATTCATATCGCACTTAAAAAACACCAGTTTGTGATCAGATATTCCTTCATGAACAGTAACGCTACAATGATCGAAATGTTTGCTAACAAACAAGAGATTGAGCAAGCTGCTTGATGTTTCAGCAATTCGCGCAGGTTCTTCGACAGTTTGTCGAAGACACCGACCAAATGCAATGTCTACAAGCACTTCTGATAGTTGAGTTCCTGGACAGGCCACGCCCTTATTCGACCAGCCTACGTCGGGTGCATTGAAATCTCCTGCGATATCTATTCTAATACACTTGTTGGTGATAGCTAGCAAATATTCTAGGATATGTTTTCAATCATCCGGCGGTGAGCCGGGTTTTCTGTATACAGTTCCAAGTGTTATCCATGTTGTAAAAAAAAAATTTATTTGACACCAAACACTTTCAAAATCTTCGATTGATTTCATAGAACGGTACACTACATTTTCTTCAACGGCTATAGCGACTCCCCCCACCCCCCCCCCCCCCCGCCCCCCACGAGAGCTCCTGTCCCCTCGTATTAATCTGTAGTTTAAAATACTAAATGCGAAGAATTTAAAATAAACAAGAATTTGCATATTCAAACAGTCCGGATCAGTTCAGACTCACACCAGTAGCAGAGCTCTCGTCACTACGACGACTGTGAGGTTTCGTCGTGGGAATGTGAGGATGGGAGCTGGATCGGGATGTAGCGTTGGGATGCGGGCGTCCTTGAACCGATTAAAGGTTTGGAAGGCCGGTGGCCTCTCTCTGAAGAATTGGGCTTGCCCGAGTGTCGTCAAGCCGCTGTTGGTTACTGTTTACGACCCAACAGCCCAGACCTGGTTTGGCGACTGTCCCATACCACCAGTCCCGGCTGCCGGCCGCTCGGTGCTGGCTGTTCCACACTGACTCTTCTCGTGTGCTCGTCCCCGTCGTCTTCTTCTCCTTCCTTCCCCCTTCTATTATTATCCACATCATCACACCCTCCCACGAAGCACTCCGCTCGCCATGGTGGGAAGTTTTCTCCTCTCCAGAGTTCAACCTGCTGAAATAGAAAACGTGGAGGGATTTCGCGCAAGGAACTTGTCCTGTGCTTCGTATGTTGCGGCAAACTATGCGGAGAGCAAGTCTAGTTCTTTAGCAGGAGCTGCGGTTACGTCACAATGACGCCTGGTTCTGATTCGATATATGATTGAAAAGATAGTGGGTTGACCTCAATGCTAGATGCCTAGAGGTCTAGCCATTTTCAACTTTTTTTTAATCTTCAATATGAGCTTGGCGTCGTTCTGATGTCACCGCAACTCCTGCGCAAGAAGCAAATGACTTGCTCTCCGCATGGTGCCACTGAAAACTTAAGGAACGCAGAGCGTGGCGAGTGCCGGGCTGCCTATTGTCACTTCGCGGCCAATCACACTGCTACATCAGCTGATAAGTATGTCAAAGTGCGAACCACGAATCAAGAATCATGTTCATAATAAACCATTTGAAAAAGAAGCGCCATCTAGTGTACTCGATCAATTATCAAATTTCTGCCGTACTGCTAAGTTCCCGCACCGATAGTTTCGCCCGAGAGAAGGTGGTCTCATCAAAGTGGGAGCAGTGGATCTAAGATATTATCACGTGCTGCCACTCCAGTGCGAACCCTTCAGACAACCCCTACGATAAAGACCGTTCACTGACCCGGATGGCCCAGTTCACTGCTACAGAGACGAGTCTTGCGACTTCGTTCCCGACAATTCCCTGTCCAAAACTTCGCGACCGTCTTCTTTTTTTTTTTTCTTTGAACCAAAACTAAGATAAGCAGTAACCCATTATGTGCAAAAATACATTGCCATAATATTGAGAAAACCAAGTTAAATGCAGATGCGCCTCGTCCACAGCTGGAAGATGTGAAAAACTCTCCATTACAGTGGCTCCAAATGGCGTGCTTGCGAGCATGCTCAATGGCATGCCCGTAAGAATTTTGCGTACGCCTATAGATCACGCCATACTTTAATTGAGCTGGCAGCGACTAACGTGACATCAATTGAATGTAACAAATCTTTATTCAACCCTCGTTCCACAAATCCCCATCCGCCCTCCCCCAGGAAGACATATTCATGGACAGAAAATGTAAAAAATGAACACTTTAATCAACCAA